CTTGTGAAACTTTCATATTAATCATGTCAATCTCCTCTCGTTTTTCACACATAAATTCTCCTCTGCTTTATACTGTTCAGTGTTCTTATACGCGTCGTTCTTGTGTTTCGCAATTGGACAAGTATTCATGTTCGTCATTAGCAAATACATAATGGACGGCACGTCAGGGAAAATAGACGGCTCGATGTTTGCAACATTATTTGTATTTTTATCCATACTCCTAGTATTTTATTACTGGTCGAGTATCACAGAAGGTAAGAAAGAAAACTGCGTTGCTTATAATGGCGTATTAAGTCTTTATTAACATTAATACGATTTTTTTAGACGACTATGAAGATTATGAGTTCTAATGAACTCTACTTGATATGATTGTCTTTTCTTCATTATTTTCTTCTTGTTTCCATATATACATACATATATTCTTACTCAAACAAAAAAAAATCAAGCTTTAATTCTCTTATATAAACAACGCTTATACAAATAACGCTTATTACTACTATTACTACACTATTATTATTTATTATCGCTTCATCACTGTTACTGTCTCAACATACTCTCTCTCTTTATTTTATCATCCACCAAGTCATTTAAATTAATTTCAACTAGATAACTCATATTTCTATTATTCGAGGATGATTATTCTAATTAACAAAACATTGTAGATATTTGTGTACTATTTGTTTTTTTTTGTTTTTGTTTTCTTTTTCTCCCCTTTTAATTATTCTTTTCGTTAAATGTGCTGGTTCTTTTATTAGACTGCAAATTAGTCGTTGGCGATAGGAAAAAAGAATAAAACATGATTTCAATGTTCTGCAGTCACAAGGAAGAGAAGACGGAAAGGGTAGTCAAAGAAGAAGAAGGATCTTTTGTTGACTATATTATTCTTTCTGTTTATCTGTCCTTTCGTTGACGCGACGACGAAAAATACCGAGAATTGTGTGTAACAATTGTAGCTTGGCGTAACATCCATTTATCATTTACTTTCTCAGTATAGTCGAATCGGAATATCCCCCTGTGAGCTTGGATTTGAACCGACATCGTTGTGATTGTAATACATAAACAAAATTTTATTACCCTCTCAGTAATGTCATTGTAGCTATTCGTCCCCTTTGTTATGACGAATGTTGTGTGACACAACAAACGACAACAATGAGTGTTCAATTGAGAGGAGCTAAATAAGAAATGACAATAGGCGATAATAATAACAAAATTCGTTTGTGCAACATAAACAAAGAGCGATGAATATAATAATGACCAGAAATAAAGCATTCTATTTTACAATGACGGGAAGAAAATCTACTCTCCACTTGTTTAGATCCCCTTTCATACGCTAAATTTAACTTTTACAACAAAAATTACGTGTGTGCGGTTGTCAACAAAGCGATCCCAATCTTGACATGGTGAAACGAACATGCAACTTTATCTATGAATCTCTCATGGATGTATAGGTTACACGGGTTAAAATGGTATTCAGGAAAAAAAAAAGGGCCTCGTGCAAAGAAAGTAAGGACTAACTTGTTTGGTATCAAGATTCAAAAAGAACCTGGCAAACATCTCGTTCCAAACTTCCCTGTTTCTCCACCGACCCCTCCCCTCCAACTGTCTCACTTTTGTTTATTGAAATTATTATGGGAAAAACGAACAATCACACACATATTTTTTTTTCTCGTTTTTTTTTTTTTTTGGCGCGATATGCAGAACTTTTAATCTTGCTACTATTGGTAATAAGGCTGTGAAGGTACATAGCATATCAGTGCTAAATATATTTCATGAGTCACAAAGCTAACTGTTTGTTGTTAGGCTTATATGGAGAAATAACATGTAAATGAACATGTAAGTAAATAATATTTAGACACAGTTTATCGCAATGTTTTTAGGGAGAAGACTATTGCAGTGTATTTCGCTCATGCAAGGGCGTTATATTATCAAGATATCTGTCCTGTCGTACAGTCAATGTCATACATGTGTCATGGAATGTGGATAATCGAATAAACTTTAAAATATCATGACGTATGCTCCACAAATAACGGTGTGTGTGACATTCCGAAGTAAAAAGATCCGGTTTTTTATCAATCTATAAAAAAAATCTACCCAGAGGCTGGATCGATTGTGTTAACTAAAACAGGCAGCCGTCGTTTAAAAAGGCACAGTCATACTGAAAATATCGCATATTAATATCTTTTGCTGCAAGAATCAATTTTTAAGAGTCTTTAAATAGATACTACAAAATAGTTCATACATTGACAGAAAAGAAAGGGTTAAGGTGTGTTGATTGTTAATCACACGAATTTAGACGATTGTTCACGAAAAAAGTTTCTATTTATTTTTGTCCCATCGGCATTAGCATTGAATGGTACTAACAACAGTTTCATTTACTTGCATTCGATTATATTAATATCCAGGTTATCTTAAATTAGCATACTAATACGCCCAAATTTCTATAAATACATATCGATATACCATATACGTACATACAAAATATTTAATGGCTGTGTTCACTGGGGACATGGTTGTAAGCCAATTAATCAATCGTTACATAACAATGGCAAAGTTGTTCAGTGTCATCACTACTTGCAATCTTGTACTATTTGGAAACGACTAAAACTTTACTTTTATTTGATGCATACCGCAAGATTTAAATAAAATAACAATTAGCCTCCAATTCGCTCGTGCTCGTCATATTACATCGTGCAGCCAATAGACAACCGTTGATTGCGTATGCAAGTGCATTCAATCAGATATATGCATGCATAAAATTATCATATAAATTAGCTTTATTAAGAAGAAGTAATACTGAATTTGTCTGCTCCTGCCACCAGGGTAGATCCTGAACAGTGCGTGTATTACTCTAGCACGTTAAACAAAAAGTTTCCAAACTGGCTATTAACATATCTATTGTAGTATTGCTCACATTAGACTTGTGCGTCAAATTGCTGTCAAAAATGTAATCGCTTGTTTTAATAAAAGAGCCGTCTATCTCTTCAATTCGGTAATTAATGACTGATTTTTTCACGCGCTCACATTTAGAAATATATATATTTTTTGTACTAATTTCCAGCATTTTAAATCTCAGTACGCTTATGACAGCTGATTTCTTGGCTTGCTTTATGCAATAGTCGGATTCTAATTTCTAGTATTAGATATCACGTGAGAATTTTGATAAAATTCCACTTGTAAACGTTAATTGTCTTTGTAACAATACCTTTTGAGCAACAAATATTTAACGTCAAGAAAATCCATTATGTTGCAAATCTTTTTTGCTCGTAGACATTATCCCAGCCAAAACACACCTTGTTTTGCTTTAATATGCCACATTTAATTTCTACAATCCAAATATTGCTAATCTTTTTTAGAATTAAAACACTTTCATACAAAATTTTTTACATGATATTAACACCTTCAGGACCATTGAAATGCCGTCAAATACGTACGTAAGGTTTTTGTTCAATCTCTGAATTAAAAAGCCCAACTCAAAAATGCATTATTTTGCCGTGAATTCCAAAACTCAACAGATAACCGTTTGAATTAATCACGTGATAAATATTGGAAGAAAAAAATTCGCGTATCTTCGCTTGACATCAAGCGCGAGATAGACTGAGATTGAAAAATGATAATATTTATAATATTGATCATCAAGACTTGCTACTAGTTGAATAATATACAACCAATCGTTGTGCATGTCATACAGTTCCCCATATATACATTCGAATCCACAAACACGTCACGTTCACTTCGTGTTTGTTTCGGATTCGTTAATCTCGTGTTTGTTTCGGATTCGTTTTTACGAAAATATTAATCACCTACACTCTACGTCTTGCATATTATAATATATATCAAGGAACCAAAAACGTGTGTAGATGCATAAGGTTTCTTGCAGACTCATTGAACTTCTAGTACTGTTGGTGCTTCTTTGGTCGGTACGTCGCCCGGAACACCTTAAAGCGTGGTGGAAGTTCTGTGAACTGGTGGAAGTGAGTGGTTTTCCTTAAAGAATTGTAGAATTGCAAACAGGACTGTTTTATCTGAATAAAATTCGTCTATCGGCAGCGAGAAATTCGCTTCAAAGAGTTTGAGGCGCGTAAGGAGCATGAGAAACAAGAAGAGCACAAGAACAATACTAGACCATGGAAAAGGTTGTTCCAATGGTTGCTGTGTCTTTGTTGGGTTGGAGCCTCTGGAAGTGTGTTGTTGAAATGTTGGACTTTGAATATTAGACTATAAGTTTATGGTATTTGGACTATTATTAATCAAACAGACACAAGCGTAATCATTCTGCTTGTCCTTTAAAAACTATGACTGCATCCAATCCAATCAGGTGAGCAGTCTAGTTTCTACCGTAGAGCTTTTCCCTTCCTGTATAATAATTCATGTAACAACACTTTTGCTTAACGAATGTTTATTATGCTATTCGATGTACGTATTACTAACGTGCGAGAAATACATACAACACCTATATAGATCTTTATGTCGACAACGCGATCATAAAACTTACATCTCTCAAACAATCCCTTTTCAGAAAGTCCAATCATTTTGCATATTGTCATCTTTTGCGAAGACATTAAAAATATGTCAACAGCAGTGTAAGAAATCGTTCACGATTCTAGCTTCCTCTCTAGTACAATGCTGCCGCTCCCGTATTGCCAACAGTGTTGATTTCCCAAATAATAAAGGGATTATGCGAAAGCGGGGGGAGAGGAGAGGTAGATATTGGTAACATGGCAAGTTTTATACAACCTTTCGCATATAATTCAAACTTGGTTTACTTATTAAAGGTATACACACGAAAGATTAAACTGCTTTTTGCCGGAAATAGAAAATTAAGCAATTTCGTAATCATAAAGATTTTCCATTTTCAATAATTAATGATGATCTACCTATTAGTGTTATTAGGAAACGTTTAAAAAGAAAATAGACCAAGCACCAATATTTATAAAACCCACAGATCCCCCCCCCCCCTCTTCCCGCTCACACCCAACCCCAACCCCAACCCCCCCCCAATTCTACGACCCATTCGGTGTCGGTTTTACGTCCTCGATTGCACTAAGCTCGAATTTTCCATCTCGGCCTCTCGATATAGTGCGTATACTCCGACTGCTCGCCGATAGATTCTGCGAGCTACTATTTGCAATCGATCCTTTGTCCCGACCCTCACTTGAAGAAGACGGTGTCGCAGGTGGATTAATGTCTCTTTTCTCGAGTGTCTCGATACATCGTGCAGTTCGCACCCATTTTCTTCTACGAGTATAGCGACGGAATCCACCTTTACCTGTGAAATTCTTCCAGCGATTGTCAGCATATTCCCACCCATCCTTATCGACACTACCGTCCATGTCTATCCACCAGTCTGGATCTACCCATCGCCATTCAGTAGTTTTACGGATCATGACGTTTGGATTATCCTGTGCGACTGTGATCGAAGTGTCTGGAGGAGGAAGTTGGAAAGAGTCCTTGTTATTAGTTGCTTCGTTGTATTCGTCAGACCTTGGAGTATATGGATGAAGCCAGGTCTTTGTTAATGAACCAAACTCGATACTTGTTGCTAAAAAGATTAATTGGTCAGACGAGCCGAACCATCAACCTACCATGCGGGCCTCTCATTGGGAAACAGATTTGTAGTCCAGTCTAATCCCAACCACCATCTCTGATTTTCATATAGTACAAAGCTATAAACTATTTCCGTTGAATTTTTTGATCCATCTTTGCCATTTGTCTTTTTTGACACATTCCTTCTTTGTTGTTCTTTAGCTTTTCTCACTAGCGCAGCAACAGAGAACCCTCTGACAGCCTCTGGTTGGAACTTACCACCCCATACGAAACCAACTATAAACACAACACAACCTTTAATAAACATATTCTGCATTGAAACATGCCGAATAACTCTAAACCATGGACTATTCCATATTAACGCCAGAGTACCGATTACAATAAATGTCCACGTTAAAGAGACAAAATAATTAAATGCGAGCCAAAAGGGGTAAGAATAGAGCAAACCAAATATTACTCTTTGTGTTTGCACCGGATCTGACCAGTCGATTTTCTGTTGAAACGAAGTCATAAACTCGGAAAAGTCTGACAATTTCTCGGATATCTTTTCGATTTCGCGAACAGTGTTGTTTAAATCTTGTTGTGAAATTGCGCGTAAGATTGAATCAGGCTTTCCTACACAGTCATTGTACAGTGAGCAAGAGCGTAAAAAAAATCGTAGTATTATATCCCGGGAAGAAGTGCAAAAGATATTAATACCGTATAACCGAATAAAAGAAAGAAGAGATTTCAACCAATACTATGAAAACTTATTCACCCAATTTTTCTCTTTTCTTTTTCTCGAGCCACAGCCAACCGATCCATGCAAGCAGAAACAGGTGAATTCCATAAACCAAGATCTGTCCCGGGAATAGACAAGTAGACCACCAAGCGGCTAACAGCAAACATGACTCGCTGGCGTTGGACGTAGACCACGTAATCAGACTTAAAAAGTACGAGAAGGAGTATATAAAGGGGGAAGTGTACACCAGCACTCGTGTTATACTTGTGGGCATGGTTGAGAGCATGAAATCCACGGGTGAAGCGGTCAAGTTAGTGGGAGACGAGGTCGCAGCATCATAGGAAGTGCTTGGAAGAGTGTCCAATCGCGGTACTTTGGAAGAAGAGGTAGACATTGTGGGAGTAGTGTTGTCGTTGTCGTCTTTTACGTTTGCTGGAGTAGGAGGAGTAATGCCTGATAAAAAGAATGCATGCGAGTCAAAAGCCATGAAAAAAAGATGGCGGCGTTAATCGTTTATTGAGTGGAAACAACTCGATTTACACGTGAGAATGAATTGTTTACCAGTTCTGGGGGGAGTGACAGTAGTGACAGTAGAGCATCAACACGTGTATTTTTATAAGTAAGGATCACAAAATAAAAAAAGTCTATTGGTTTTGGACAAGAACAAATGTATATACAAGTGATAATTATATAAAGGTACAACTTGCGTACGAGTTTAGTTAGCTAAGCTACACGAATCGGTACAATAAACCAAGCTTTTTCTTTCCCGACTTTTGTGATATCTAGTGACGACAGATTATAACAAACTGAAATAAAGCTGTCAGTATTACAATCTTCACTGTCGACAAGATATTTGCGATGCATTTGACAAGAACGTGTTGATCTCGCGCTTACAAATTGGATAGGTCCATTTTGCATTTACGCGAATATGGATCAAGAAACCATAGGCATGTAAGGACTTTACTTCAAGGCACAAAACGTGTGCGTACGATTATGGAGGATATGGAGAGAGATGGCGCAGAAAACGAAGGAAACAGCCCATGTGGAGACAGCCCATGTGAAGCCGCATGCCGCTATTTCTACCGTAATTTGATAAGATTATTAAGACAACAGTTTAACCTTCCGAAGATCAGATTTTGAATATTAGATCAGTTAGTATCAACAAGGAGCCATTAGGCTTAGAAAGATTGAAGGAACTATCGAGCTTAAAAGTAATTCATCGCTCTGTCATTACTTACTGATGCCTCTAACATCAATCATTTATTATAGAGACTTGTTGCGCTGTCCCCACGAAAAATCATCAAGGAAACGTCAATACAATTAGAATGAGCAATTACAAACACGATATCCAGAAATCTCTTTCTATTACGTACTAGTGAGGTTGATCAGTAAACATGCTGATATCCAAGATTCTGTTTATAGTGTTTTCATTTTTTACCATGTAATGTATTTACACAAGACCGAGGATATTAATATCAAGTCATGAATTATCGCTTAATTTTTCTATTTAGTATTAGGCCAAAAAATTACGAGTAGAATGGCCAAAATTAGACCCGAACTGATATGATGTGGCCGATTTTTTGTAAGGATTGCTACGAATTATTTTATCTATCTCGAATATATTCTTTTCGTTACAAGATAAGAAGAGCTGCAGGAAAAGAGCTCTTGCAATCGATGTAATAATGTACGTATATAAACCGCGCGTTATGTTTCATAGTATCTATGATACAAAGTAATGGTTAAGATCAAGCGAATACGGATGGATTGAATCGATCAAAAATAGTCAACTATAATCAATCAATTGGGATAGCTATGCTATATAACTAAGGCTCCATCAAGCAATGCCCGGAGAAAAATTCCCCGGGCGCCATTTAGATCTCTATTAATCTGAAGTCCACATAAATACTTTACTTCGCCCAAATTCCTCCTAATATATCCATGTTTTGCTTGTATATGCTTCAGATACGGATGTTATTACGATTTTACCAAATTCTTCCGCTTTCGATATCAATCGATTCCTAAACCTAGCATGTGCCCAGCTCATCATCTTTCGAACTGTTTGACTATTGATTTTTCTTTTTCGTCTATGAGACGTCTGTGTACTATTAAATTTGGTAACACGATTATGTCAAAAGTCTTGGTTGAAGTATGTGTTAGAGCCAATCAAATTCAAGAAGTTTTTTCTAGAATCGATAACCATTTTTGGTAAAATCCCTGACTGTAATAGTAAGATTGATCACAGTGATTCTTTAATATTAAGTTTTTTTAATCTTTAAGTGGGATGGATTGTAACATATCAATAGTAGGCATTACTCATATGGAGCCTGTGCTTGCATTGAATGAAGCTATCGTCTACGAAAACGGTTCTGAAGCTTTGACTACCTCTCTCGGCAATACCCGGTTTGTGATGTTGTACTAGCAGTGTATACTATCGAATACCCCTTTTTTTGATTGGTTCTCTTCGTTGTTTCTTTGTCTACGATATTAATATTAACAGCAACTGATTCCCATAACCCATACCCCGGACAACGGACTGATTCTATTGTATCACCTAAAATGTTAAAGCGTTTTGTTAAAGCGATCATTGTTGTCTAATTAGGCAGCCACCGACGCGTTGGACTGCGAATCGAGACATTTATCTGACTCAGGAGCAACATGCACCCAAAGTAGATGTTGAACGGAAGAGCCAACTTCATCCATATCTAATACGGAGATGGCATGGAGCAGCAAGACTTTAAAATAATTTCAATCCGGAGATTGAATGGCATTGCTGAATCAACCTGTTTCGTTGCAGAACTTGTTACTTTTGAGACAAATGGTAATAGCAGAGTGCAGTGTTTTCAATTGCAACAGCTAATATAAATGATTGTTGACATGATTGCCGAAGGTGATATTCTGTCAATTAGGCAAGAAATCATAGTATACTTTGTTTTCTTGCTTGCAATCCGTACTGTAAGTCAGACCTACAAGAATGAAGAACGAAAGACGATTTGAAGCATTAAACACGGTTTATCGACCGCATTAATGTAACCGACGAAAGAGTTCACACATGAACGAACATTCCACCTCCTCTCACTTAACGTGCGGTACACAGCCCCGAGTGGTCGTTATTATACGTACGTTTATTAATTTATTCAAATCGGATCTCGTCTTCAGTGAAATAATAATCGCGGCATGAAGTGACCCAACTAATTATTATAATATCTACTATGCTACTTAGAAGCTACATACGAGTCACTTCCTCAATTTCGAAGTTCCCGACACATAATCTCGCTCTTTGACAACTCGCTCTATACTCGGGCTGCTTTGACTGTATAACGATAATAATAAGCTTCATTGCATCAAATGGCACTCTAAGTCTACTGGGCGTAATTCGCCAACACCAATCCAATTACAGGAGGATCGAGAAACAAATAGAGAAAAGAGATACAATAAATGAATTGGATAGGCATTGATATTTCTAAGGAAATTGGATTTGGGCGTGTGTGTGATGATGCACTAACACTCCTCATCGAATCCTTATCGTCTAATGACGCCTTCCAGTGTGCAACCCAGCAATACGAGGGAGGTTACAACAGCGGAAAATGATCAAGGTATATTATTAGTAATCGGCTTGGATCAAAATCGAACAGTTCAAACGCTAAGGCCATTAATCGAGCATGCCGAAAAGCACTGAGCACATATCGGTCAGGAACCTCACAGCGTTATAAATAATCCAGAATAGGAATCAACGCTAGGATATAACTTCCTCTTGGTAAAACATTTATCCTTCAAAGCCGCTTTCTCTAACTCAATGGGCAACGCTAATGGGTGACTCATTTCCACACCCTCAAGACGCTATTAAAAATGTATAAGCTCAAGTTTAATTGTGGGTTCGATAATCAATATCTAAAGCACATTATACCCGCCTAATCATTATATAGGCTTTCTCAACTTGTGCATATGAATACTCACTCGTAAGTAATATTCTAATAATCTTTGCTCTAAGATCATAACTCTTGTGTATGCTATGTTCAAGGCCGAATATGGCTTTCTCTTTCTGTTTCATTCTTCCAAAAACTCCTAATCGATCCAATTTCTCTAACATCCTCAACACCAATTCATTGGCGGTCCATATAGAGGAACAGTGACTTTCGTAACTGCACGTCAATAATAATAAGAGAAGATCCAATATGAGCGTTGCTGCTGTCAAACAGTTTAACTCATGGTCTATACGTAAACT